CAATAATAAAAAAAATATTGGTACTGTATCTCCTTTCTTAACCACTGACTATAAAAGTTTCCCATGCCACAAATAGGTCAGATTACACCTGAAACCATTTTAGTTAGTTGAACATTAGACAAAATGAAACTCCTTAATAATTTTTATACTTGATTAGAAAAAGCAAAGAACAACAATAAAAATCCAACAAAAATCAACCAGCATCCCCTCTGAAAACAAACAAACAAAACATATACACAAAAAAGAAACAAAAAGAAGAAACTAGAAACACACAGCAAGAACTATTAATTTCCAAATGATTAACCATATGGCAATTTTTCACTAATTATGTTAAACTTTTCAGCAGTGTTAGAAAGGGCATTAAGGATCATCTAGATCCAAACTTCCTTGCCACTCATGAGATTAGGTTGTCCAGGGCCCCATACACCCTGGCCAAGGATGCATCATCCATAGCCTCTCTGGGCAACCTGATCCAGTGCTTCACCACTCTTGAGTGAAAAGTTTTCTCTCAGTATGTAATATAAATCTTTTTATACAAAAGTTTTAAACAAAAACTTTAAAAAAAAAACTCTGTTTTTGTTTAAAATCATTCCTCCTTGTGCCATCACTATTTACCTGTGTAAAAAGTAGGTATTTATCTTGTTTATATGCATGCCTTAGACAATGGAAGGCAGCAATGAAGTGTCCCCAAAGCCTTCTCGTCTCTAAATTGAACGAGTCCCTCTGCCTCAGCCTTTCTTTGTAAGAGAGATGCTCCAGACCTCTAATAATCTCCATGCTCTTCCTCTTGACCTGATCCAACAGTTCTACAATTTTCTTGTCCCACTAACAAGGTCATTGCTATAGATGTTGAAGAGCACTGGTCCCGAGATTGACCTTTGAAGGACAGCACTCATCACGAGCCTCCACCTGGATAGAGATCCATTGACTGCAGTCCTCTGGCTGCCATCATCTAACTTTACCAATTAATAGTTCACCCTTCAAATTCATATATTTCCAATTCAGAGAAAAGAATGTGGTGTGAGACCATATCAAAGGCTTTGCAGAATTCCTGATAGAAGACATTAATTGCTCCTCCTTTGTCTACTGATGGTATCACTCCATCCTAGATGGGCACAAGACTGTCAGGCACAATCTGCCCTTGGTGAAACCATATTGGCTGTCTCAGATCACTTATATATCTTGCATGTTCTTTAACGTGTATTCCAGGAGGATCTTTTTCATGATCTTTTCAGACACAAAGGTGTGGCTCCGTGGCCTGTAGTATACAGACATTCTTATCTCCCCTTCTTAAAAATAGGAGTGATTTTTCCTTTTTATCCTCTCACCAAGTACCTCTAACATCCATGACTTTTTGAAAAAGTGTCTTGGAAACTACATCATCCAGTTATTTTATGGCCCCTAAATACATATTTTCAGACCCCATGGACATTCCATCTCAAAAAAATGATCTTGAATTCACTCTTTGATTACAGTTGGAGGGATATTAGTGGTGTTTACATGTGTGTTTGTAATGTAATTGAAAAGTAAAACTTCCTGGCAATGAACATGTAAACTCAGAAGGTATCCAGGCTAATCCAACAAAGTCTATAAGGCTATACATGATGATACTGGGGCCAACAGAGGTTTCCATAGAGAAAAGAAAATTGGTAACTGATAGACTCAACTAAGCCTGACTATGAGCCACTTGAATGAAACTCAAACAAAATAATAAAATTTAGATGATGTAACATCCTATTAAAATCTACTGACTGATGAAGAGGGCAGGAAATATCATCTAAAAACATACAATATGCACTATTTATCTTTCTACTACAATGTTCTAAAATCTCCCAATGTATTTCATGCATTCCAATATCTCATTAACAAATTCCATCTCGGTATCATTAATATAAATGCATAAATGCATAAATAAATAAATAAATGGATTTAAACTCACCGCATTAGCATACTGATTTCTCTTCTTGGATGGAAAGAATGAGTTAAGTAACAAAAAAAAAAAAAATGTTTAGCTGTGGTAGAAGAAAATAATGATTGAGAACTTTCCCAAATAATTACTTATGTAAAATTAGTATGGCTAATAATATCCACCTCTTTAAGTTTCACCACAATCTTGATAATTGTTACAAGAGTATAAGTATTATGGATATATTAATTCATCAGGGAGAAAACTGATACTGTAAACACAGATTCAAATGTAAATACAAAATTATGGCGTAGAATCAGTATGTCAGAAATTGTAGCTCCTCAAATAACCACAATAACCATTTTAACCACAATTACTCAAGTAACCACAATTTACATGATTTAATAATACTAAACTTCATTAAGCAGAACAGTTTGCTAGTTTTGTGATCCAAATATTGAACTGAAGGTAGGCAGTATGCAAGATGAGATCATATGTATCTTCATTATCTTGAAGCTTTTGTAATCTCAATCTTTTAAAGAAATAATTTCCAGAATCTTAATCCAATATTGTAAACAATCTTTGATTGCCAATATTTCAATAACAGAGTAAGCAAAGTACTAAAATTTTACCTGGTTAAGAAATTTTTTTCTGAAATTATTTCAGTAATTTAAAGAACCGGAAGAACATTTCTTTGGAATTCTGACCAAGAATAGAACTATATTTGATAGGATATAAAAATTTAAAAAAATAAACATTAGTTTGGAATTAGATATGATTTCTTTACTTTTCTATGATTTCCTGGTTAATCTAAGTAAAAATGAAGTATTGCATTGCAGGTTCTGCATTTGCGAAGGTCTAAGGTCTGGACTGTATTAGCATAAATCAAGATTAAAATATGTGTTGAGGGAGAAAGAAAAGATGGAAGAAACCTGACTTGCTAAACTGAGCATTTTTCAATTTCGGTAGTTCGAAACTTTTCCTTAACGGGGGGTGGGGAACAAAAAAAAAAACAACCCTAAACATGCCTCTTTACATAATATTTCAGTGAGTTTTTACTAATTTACATGTACCATTACAAAGAGAATTATTGTGTCTTCCTGTGCCCTCCTGTATGAGACCAGAATGTAGTTACTGAGCTATGTATCTCCAAAGTCTGCTACTGACTGTTAATTTTAGTTAGGTGATTGTGAGTGAGTGAGTGAGTTACTTTGCTGCTGCTTTTTAACTTTTCAGCAACACTGTTGGAACCTTGTCATTCTTATATTACTTAGGAATCAATGGGATCAGTACAAAGGATGGTATTGAGCTAGATGATTTTGTTTCTGCTTTGTAATAGTAATTTCTCTTGAGGTTTTACTAGCATTGTTGTATTATGATACAGTTTCAATGCTAAATGATGATCAGCAAAATGTGCATACCACATTCCACAAAAATAATTTTTCCATAACAACTCCCCCTGGTTCTGGACATTTAAAGATTAAAACAAGCAAGCAAGCAAGCAAACAAAAAACAAAAATAAGTAAGTAAATAAATAAATAAATAAATAGATTTGCATGATCTAAAGATCAAATTAACAAAAAAAAGCTTACTAATGGTAAATATAAATAACACAATCCGAATTTGGAACAAAACTAGAAGAATGCAACAAAGAAAGTACTAAAAGATTAGTGAAGTTTGTAGAATTTTATTTCACATATTTTGCCCAAATATTCAGCTAAGTTCGCAGCCACATGTGAAAGGAGTGTTTTTAAAGACTATTAAATGCATTTCTAAGACAGTTAATTACATGCAGAAAAATCCCAAATACTCGGTAAAATACACTTGAGGGTTGATATTAGGCAGTTATACGTTTACGTTGCGTTTAATCAACAATTTGAATAGACATGATGAGATTAAGATTTTCAAGAAGGCAAGATCAGCACAGGTTCCACCAAAAATATGAATTCTAGTCTCACAGTCTTTCTCCTTTTCTTGAGCTTTGATGATTTTTCTGACATTATTACACCTCAAATTAAAGTGAGTCAGTGAGAACGTATAAAGGATTTTTTTTGATTGCTTGCAGAGTTATTAATAGGAATGAGGATATTTTTCATCTATTTTATTTAAATACAAACATGAAGTAGTTTTCAGTGGAAGTCTGAACCTCCTCCAGACCTTCTGAGGGCACTGTTTCACAGAAGATAAAATTACAACTACTTGCAGCAAACTATGGTATAAGATCTGGTTTTAAAGATACAATTAGATATGGATACTCTGATGTTTGATTGAGTCTGATGCCATCAAAACAAAGAGGACTAAATTTTACTTTGTATATACTTTTTTTCTATGTTCAAAAATTGCCCTTGCCTTACAACTTTTCCTCATCCCTCACTAAGAATTTCTTATTACTTCATCAGGATGTAATTAAAGATGAGATAGTAAGCTTCTTAAGGCAACAGAATGGTTTTGTGAGATAAATAGGTCAGGAATTTTACAGTGGCTAACTAAATTTAAATCTTTTTAAAAAATCTCATGAAATTGTACTTCATAGTAAATAAATTTAGCCTCTAAAAATATTGTTAAAAATTATATTTTAAAATTTATCTTTCCTGACCATTGTTTCTAATTTTTCCAATAGGCACAGTATTTGCAAAATGTTTACTACACAGTGAGCGTAACAGTAGAAATAAGGTCCAAAATAATATCAGAATTCAAAAAATCTTGGAACTGGAGATTATTAATTGTTTTAGTGATACGAATAAAACTACAGGCAGGTGACCATATTGAAGTATGTTTAGACTGAAACTTGCATTTTTTAAACAGGATTACAGATTTTCCTATGCTCTCTTCGCACTGGTGGAAAAAATTTGCCTCATTCTGTGTGTGGCAGGTGCCATCAAAAATGCTTTAATAAGTTACAAAGACGTAGTGCAGATTGAAACTATGCGCAGGAATATAAATACTGTATGCTTTCCTTCATTCTATTAATATAAGAGATTTTAGTTGATCTAGTTTTCCTTATTTTCAAATGTGTTGGATTGCTGTAAGTGAAACATTTGCTAAACAAATGCTTCCTTCTCAGAAAATTGCTATATTTTCTCTTTTTTAACAGGAGTGGGGATTCAAAAAGTTGAGGTAGGACATTAATTTTCTTCATTCAACTAGATTATTTATGAGTCCTCTTAGATTTTTATCTAGTAGTTAATTGACTATGATGGTTACAGTGAAGTTTTATGATCCATTTGTTGCAAGTAATTTGCTCGATAAAATGTTTTTGTAGAAATAGACAATTATGTTTCTTGGTTTGCCAATAATTCCGAAGCATGATGCAACATTTGAAATATTCCTGTATGTTGTTTTTAAGAATGATATGGGTCTCATGCTGACACAAAGTCTGCAAGGAGCTGTAATGAGTGAGAAATGGAACTCACTTTTGTATTGCAGACATCTGGTTTTTTTCTATAAGCCAAACTGGATAGAAGGTGGTACTTCAGGCTAATAGTGGTGTTGAACTTGTTTTATCTAGATAATTTGCAACAAAACAGTGTTTATCTCAAATTACAACCTAAGTATAATTGAGATAATTTTCAGTGCTGGAAATCCCTATTAATTTACATCACAGTGTTGAGAAACTAATTTTATTTCAGTGGAATTGAAAAAAAATAGATTTTTTAACACATATGTTTCAAAGTAAATTTTTAACTTTGGTAGAGTGGTAATAATTTGGAGTGCTGTACTGTACTAAATAATGTTACCCCATCAATAACTCATTTAAAACAAAGCTAGACTATGTTCATAATATTTAACTTCTGTTGTATAACTTTATGTCTTCAGGATACGTTTATAACTGTGGAATTATGCAATCTAGATTACATTCTGCAAGATGTCAATGTTTAGAACAAACTTACCATGCTGATAAAAGCTTACTGTAGATTTAAATGCTAGATAGAAGATAGCCAGGGACATTTACAGAAGTCATGATTTAACGTCCCCATAGACAAAATATGTCTGTTTTCTTCATTTATAATATTTTTTTTGTTCTTGATGTGATTTCGGCCTTTTTTATCAACTCATTGTTTTTTGCAGTTTGCTTATTTGAAATGTGCATTTTACAGTTGTTTTTTTTTAAATTTCATAGCCCAAGTATTCTTTTATGCACTACTTCCATGTTGTGAAAATACTTCATGTACTGCTGCTATTCTAGACATCAACATTTCCTCTGACATGATTCATATGCCGTAAAACACTTTTTGAATATACTTTAATAGAAATGCATATTAAACAGCATATAATAGAGAAAATCAATAGCACTTTCATTTACCCTTTTTACAGAGAGCTGAACAATCCCAGCCCTCTGCTATGCTCTTCTTTCAGTAATAATAATAAAAATATATATATAATGTGTCAAAAATATTTTTGTAGTGGCTATTCTTAAGCATAATTATTAAGAATTATAAGATAAATAAAAAAATGTAAGTGTAGGATAAGTGCAAGAATATTGTTTGTTTTTTGTTTTTTCTTAATGATAGATCTCTTCTTTACTAACATACATGAATTTGTTTTTTAGTGAGCAGATTGAATTATGATGAGCACAGTCTGTCATCCAGGACATTAATCTGATACTATCTGTAAAAAATAAGTTTTCATTTCAGAAAACAACCCCAAACAAGAGTAAATTTCAATTGCAGTGTATTGTTAAAGGATGAAATTTTTCTAACAATGTTTATTTCTGGAAAGGAAAAAGAATAAATCTATTTTTAACAGCATTTCTGCCTAGCTTACTACTATAATTGTATACCGGTATATAAATTCTTATATGCCTTTATGTTCATAGGTCATTATAGAGGAACAGAGAGCAAATTCTTTACTCCTGGGAACAGGATAACAATGTGATACAGCATTGGTGAGAAGTTAGTCAGATAGATCCTGTTCAAATTTCCTGAATTTTGGTAATAGTGATTTAAATGCAGGACTAATGGGAACTAATGCAAACAATGTTCAGGATGTTCATATGACTAAGAAATGAAGGATAAAGGCAGTACTGTCTCACAGCAGAGAAATACCCGGTTATCAGGAACTGTGCCTTAACCGTGAGTAGAGCTTCAGATCCAGCAAACTAGATCTCCCTCCCATTTTCACAGCACACTGAGCCAATAGATTTTGTTATTCTCCAGCTGTAGAGAATATTCTGGAGGACTGTATGAACTTGCTGGATATGCATATGCCTCTTTTAAAATATATATATATCCCATAACATAAAATTTTGCTTTCAATGATTAACTGTACCCCTCTGTGTTTTATCAGTATCAGATGATCACAGTAGAGATCATCTTGTGTAACATTTGAAATTCTAGTAGAAATTAAGCTGCATCTTAGTCTAGGTACACAAGGACAAGCAAAATTACACCTCACTTTTCCAGAATAATTAAAAGTTGCCCCAAGTCATTATAGCCAACATCTACTTGAGTTTTTATTATAAAATTAGAATCATAGAATCATAGAATTATAAAATCACAAGGTTGGAAACAACCTATAAGATCATCACCATTGCCACCACAAGCACTAAACCATATTACGCAGCACATCATCCAGACGCCTCTTGAACACTGCCAGGGACAGCGACTCCACCACCTCCCTGGGCAGCCATTCCAGTGCCTGACCACTCTCTGAGAGTAATAGTTCTTCCTTATGTCCAAACTAAACCTCCTCTGATACAACTTGCAGCCATTTCCCCATGTCCTGCTCATTGCCTGGGAGGAGGCCAAATCCCTCTTCACCACAACCTCCCTTCAGGAGGTTGTAGAGTACAATGAGGTCTCCCCTGAGCCTCCTCTTCTCCAGACTGAACAATCTCAGCTCCCTCAACCGCTCCTCATAAGACTTGTGCTCCAGACCCCTCACCAGTTTCGTTGCCCTTCTCTGGACATGCTCCAGGACCTCAGCATCATTCCTATAGTGAGGGCCCAAAACTGAACACAGTACTTGCGGTGTGGCCTCACCAGTGCTGAGTAGAGGGGGATGATCACCTCCCTGCTCCTGCTGGCCACACTATTTCTAATGCAGGCCAGGAAAATTAAGGGATTTAACAATTTAAGACCTTCAAGATAGGGCAAAGTTAACTCATACACTACAGTAAGAAAATTGATGTTCCCACGTCTTAAAGGATCAGTCCTTGTGTTTGGGAAATTAATCCTTTTGAGCTGATGATGTACCAGAATACAAATTATATCCATGATGATATACATATGCACCTATATCTGTATTTGCTTTTATCTCGTAAATTCCTTACCTTTCAAACATGATAAATTTCATTAACTGAATTTAATAAAGCTTTTTATATTTTTTATTAATTTTGTATATATCTTTAAATTTATCTTTCTAAAAAAAAATGTATTTATATAGACAATCTGGGCAGGTGTATGACTGAAAAAGGTCAAAACAGAGCACCAGAATACTTAAAAAATATACTCATGCACTCTATCACAAAAATACTTTTGGTTGCATAGCAACTGTCTTTTTAATTACTACTTGCAATCTAGATTTTAATAATGTAATTAGTATTTTTCTTCATTAAATTGTTTCAACCAGTAAATTTAATGAATTCAGTTCACCACTTGTTATTAAATGGTTCTTATTCATCTTCCTTCTTTGGCCTTCCAGCATGGTTGGCTATGCAAACAAAAATCTCATTCATTTTGTATTTAAAAAACAAAACAATAACAACAGAAATAAAACCCTCAGTCAAAAGGATATCATTTTGGAAAGGCTTTCTATCTGGAGACACTGCAGTTCAGGACAACATTTGTGTAGTAAGTGGGGCTGTATAAATAAAATTGGCACATTATAGCTCTGGAATAATTTGCAGAACTGGAACCAAATCTGACTTTCAAAGGCAGAATTCAGTGTTACTTGGTGTGTTTGTTTTTTGTTTTGTTTTGTTCTGTTTTGCTTTTGTATTTTTTTTCAGACTATGTAATCTGGTAGCATTCCCTTTTTAAATTTTTTAAATACGAACCAGTTTGCTCGGAAGTACTGGAGTCTGTACTGGCAGTTGCAAGAAATTTCCACTCAGCAGGAGTATCTACAGTAGGAAATTGTGTATTCATCTTTTTTTCTTTGATTTTTTAAAGCCCCTAACATTCCTTCATATTTTCAGTACCCTTTTATGATTTGAAGAAATATGCTTTTCTCTCATGTTTGCCAAAATTGTTTTAATGGAAACAAAAATCTTCGTATTATAGAATTAAATATTTGAGTATCTGAAACAGAAAAAAAAAAAGTGTAAATCATTTATTGAAGTGTTCTGGTATATTTAGCCATAAAAAAACATCATTTAATAAGGCCTAGAAAGGTATTATATGATAGTTTCTGCTTCCAAAAATATTTTTTCGGGTTTTTACAATGATAAATTTGTGTTGCAGTGTTTTTTGACATTATTTCATTTATCTAAGATACATGCTGATTATTTCATGTGCAAAATCTTCACACAATGTCTTCCCTTTCATCTGTACTGTCATACACATGTACTTCTTGCCTTCCCACCTACGAGTTATTATGAGATTATCTATCAGGCAGTATTCTGAAACTTTTTACAGATGGTTTGTTAAAGTGAAATAAAATAAAATAAAATAAAATAAAATAAAATAAAATAAAATAAAATAAAATAAAAATAGTATATAAAACAGCTTTAGCCTTGTGGATAAAATCTTTCATATCTTACTTAAACAAACAAACAAACAAAAGCAAATCCTTGATTCATTATCTCTCTCATTTTAACACATTTGCCTAAACAGAATTGATAGAATTCCTACCAAAGGTTTTCTGTACTGATTGCACATGAGTTTGTGGATGTTAATATTTAAAGACATTAAAACAAAAAAATAGAAGAAATTAGATCCTTTCAGATGAATGATACTTTAATGCTTGGCCCCACAAAATAAAATAAACATATAAAAAAATTAAGCCTATAAACATCAAGAAGATAGATAAGTTGACACATCTTTCTGCATATCTCTGTTGAATAATATTATATTTTATTTCTCACATTAGGAAAACAGCCATTACCCAAAGCAGCCATTCGTAAACAGCCATTTTGAACAGACTGCATCTTCACTGGTGGTATGACAATTGAAGTA